TTCCTGCTGGGATAATAGGGTGAGTCTTTCCTTGTTGTTGTTGTTGTTAAAAAAAATGATAATAACTCCAAGAGCAATAAATAGCCGCAATTTCTTACAATGACTAGCAAAAGAAATTCCAATCTATTTTGTTCTCTGTTTTTTAAGGACCCTCAGATGTGTAGACCAGAGAAGAGTGCAAAGAGACCAAAGATCGTCGTGACGTCCGGAACAAAACGATGTAGACCAGAGAAGAGTGCAAAGAGACTCATCGTCGTGACGTCCGGAACAAAACGCCAAGAGCAAAAGTTGTTCGCAGAAGTGAAACCAAGTGTCAGCGTGTGAAGGAAACAGCAGCTCTGACACAGACACAAACATCACGTCGGTCAGTGGTCGTAGGTTGTTTTTTTTGTTTTTTTCAGCAAGATCAGCAACAGGAGTCATTGTCCAAAAGGTCACCTGACCTCACTGAACACCTCTGTAGCCTAATAAGAATTTAATGACCAACAGGGCTGGGTTTAGTGTAATGAATGTTGGCTCCAAACCCACATGAGAACTTTTACCTAAAATATTTTTACTTGAATGAAACTATGAATGGCACACGTTTACTTCAAACTGATTGCAGTATTCAATGGGGGAAGAAAGCTGCAACGTTTACAGGCTGCGACCATTTTTATCAAAACATTTCTGAAGATGAGTTCCTTGTTTTTAACTTTCAGCCTTATGTTATGTTTAATTTCTTTCTTCCTCAACATCTTCTGAGAAGATTCGATCTTACACTAACCCTTCTTCCACAACTATTAGCAAGAGTCTCTCTGCCTCAGACTGTTGTCTGTTCCCTGAAGTCCACTACAGAGGAACAATGTGTTGTTTTTGGTCGTGATCTTTAAAAAGGGATTGTATTGAATCAAAACCACCTCAACTGTAAATGTCTTTTTAAACCTTTTAGCATTTTAAACCTTTGAAAAAATAAATAAATGACTGAATGAAATTAACAACTTACTTTGTTGTAATGTGTTGTCTGGTAAAGCAGCCATTTTGGAAAGACACGGCCATTTCATTGGATGAAAATCTAACAAATCACATGGCACAGGGAAGACCAGGAAGTCAGTGGAGTTAAAGCTGTAAAACTCATGTCCCATGAATATATTATATATATATATACACATATATATATAAATACATATATATATAGATATATATATAATTTGAAAACAGCAACCACCCATATATATATCTATATATTTACAGTATATACAGTATATATATACATATGTATATATTTTTATATTATGTAGTAAGGAGCATAATCTGTAAGAATTGATTCATCTTGTGCCTTACAGGTACATGCATTTAATACCCAAACATATGTGTATATAAAGCATTTTGAGTTTATATTCATAAATACATTTTAATGTTTTCAATGGTAGATCACATTAGCCTGGTCATTTGAATAGTAGCTCACAAGCCAGCAAAATGTGGGTACTCCTGGTATAGAAGCACATATACATTCTGTATTATTAGTATGTCAAATATTTTGTAAAAACATAATATAGGCAATGGCTTTATTTCCATTAACTACCATATTTATCACTGTCAGTTCAAAGCACACGTACTTGTTGACACTCAGCAGTCTGTTATGTTAATGTTTACCACAAACCAGTTATTATCATCATGACCAGTGAGAGCGAAGTATCACTGTGTCTGTGTCAAGGCAGGCTCTGCAGATAAACAGCAGCTGCGATCGGGGATTACTGAGTTACACACAGACCCTTCTTCATTTTTCCCCATGTAGAAGATAACATGGACCCAACTCCCCCCACAACAACACTGGATATTCCCACAGCTCAGTCCTGCAAACCAGAAATCAGCGAGGTCACGGCCTGGTTGATACTGAGGGAACCAGAGCTGCCAAATCACATTGAAACACACACACGTGGTGCATTAACTGACCTCCTGAGTACGATCTGCAGGACGGATCGTTTCTGTCAACATGCAACAATCTGCTGCGATCATGTGACCAGTGCCTTTCTTCAGGGGAGAAAAAGAAACGTGCCCAAAACAGGGTTTGTTTCTCTCTAAAGAACTTTCAAGAATATTTGTTTTGATTTCATAATACGTTTTATTTGTCAGGTGTCAAACTAACAAAGAAATTGCTTTTTCTAAACACACTGAGAACATTTAAATAAAGACAACAGTTAAATTAAAAAAATAAGAAGTCATCATTATCTATTATATTCCTACTTAAAAAAAATATTTGTTCATATAAAATGAAATAGAAAACAAACATTAAGGCAAAAATCAGTTGAATCCTGTGCTAAATTAAATTTCGGGTAGAGATGATGTAACGTAGAGAAAAAACCTGCTTTGGTTAAATTTGGATTTTACAAATGTTCTGTCTCATGCTGTGCTTCACTTCTGTCAATATTTAACTCACTCACGTGTCTGTGCCACAGTTCTCGTCAGAGTTCCCCATGTTGCAGGATTTTATTGAGTTTAAATGCAATTCTCACTCCTTTGTTTGTTTGGGGGAAAAACTTTTTTTTTACCTATTACACAATAAACAAACACAAGTTAACAAATAAACACACACAATTGCAGTTTGTTTTGAGCAATGTTCCAATGTCCTGGTTGGAAAACAAAATCCCACTTGTTGATTTTTGCAGGAGTTAGTGTTAATCTGAAAGTTAATATTCCGTTTCGGAGAAGATTAAACATTTAATATCACAGTATATCTGTTTTCCATAACCTACATTTTTTGTTTCAACACATCGTGCAGTTATATTGACAACATCCCATCATTTTTCAGAACAAAGCCTTTATTTTCCATTACTGCTATCGTCAGTGAATAACGTTGTCACAGCAGTAAAAACTAAGGATGTCAGACATTAACTTTTTGCCGATATCCGATATGCCGGTATTATCCAAACACTTATTTTTCCGATTATGACATCTACCGATACCGATAAAGGCCTGGTGATATTTATTTATTTATTTATCTGTACACACCACTGTATGTGTTGCTAATATTATTATTATAACTTTAATATACAGCCATTTATCGCTTTTTTTTAGAGCACACATAATTTGGAGAAACCCAGGTATTGCGTTGTTGGGTTTTCATTATCGGAGAAAAAACTGTTTTAGTCCACGATTCTTACAGATATTTCATAATTATGCTAATATCAGACATCTCTAGTAAAATCATAAACGTGTCAGTCAAGACATTGACCAGCTTTGGTCCTGGTTAATGTTTGGTTAGTGGGTTGAAGTGTTAGCCCATGCTCTTCAGACAAAGCTGCTGATGATTTTGCTTGGTGCCAGTGACTGTGGCTCTGAGTAAATTACCTGAGAGACAGAAGGCGTTATTGATTATACATTAACAGCAGCACGGGGAGGTTAATATCATAGAGGTTGTTACATGTTCTCTACCACGGTGGTCCCCCGCGTTGATTTGATTTACTGTCAGCTCATACTAGGTCAAGTGTATTTACATCAGGTCTTAATGAGAGCATGTAATCAAATTCACTTCACATGTATTGCATTAGAGTGAAGGAAGCTGCTGGCCTGTTCGCCGAAAGCTATGTTGTTGGAAGCTGCTGGCCTGTTCGCCGAAAGCCATGTGACAGTTTGGCATCGTTGGAATCACTTGTTACCGTTGAGTTGATTATGTGGTTTTATCAGCACAGTTTTTCTTCTGCTCCTTGGAAGAATGGGAGCCGTCACTTTGGTCCGGATGTCCATTCAGAAATCGTAGGATCTTCTCGATGGTGGCCTCCTGGTACTCGTGGGACCATCTGTGATAAGGACAGTGCAACAGGCTTTTTAATTATTGTTTGATAAAAGTATACAGTACTGTGGTATATATTTGTCCACACGTCTTGAACTGATTTTATTTTTAGCATATTCACAACAACACTGAACAGCCTTGGTTTTGGATCTGTCCAGCAGAGGCAGATTGCTCATTTCCAACCACAGGGTCGCAGCCCTCATCTGTGACGGCTATCAGGGATGGGGTCAAAAAAACAACAACCAATAATTGATAATCAATACAATCCCCCTAAACGATCCAGAATGGCTGCAAAAATCTTGAAAAAGTAAATGTCTACACCGGCCTAAATATTTTGCACGCTAGTTTGATAGTTTTTACACATCTGCTGTAAAAGTCATAAAAGATCAACCTTTGAGCTTGTTAACTATTTATAAGAGTGATAAAAACCTTTCAAAGATGAATAATGTTTGCAGGTTCAGGGGTGAGATCTGTTAAATCAGTTTCGTTATTTGTGGTGGAAAAAGTGATTTCCCCCAGACAACTGTGGTCAATTACCAAGTGCTGGTTTCACCAAGTCGTAGACAAATGCTCTGGACTCAACTCTACAGCAGTGACTCACTTGATGCCGTTGAATTTGAGGATGGGTCTCATGTCCTCCGGCAGAGACATGGGGTCTGGCCACAAAAAATTTTCCGTCACAGGAACGATGTTCTTCTTCCCAGCCAAGGCTGTGGCAATCTCCTGTAAGTCACATGATCATTTTATTAACTATTTTAAGACATGTGGAATCATGTTTTTTCTATTTTTGATATTGAAAATCAAAAGGTTGCTATTTGTGTATAGCGTACTCTGCTGTTCATGTCAAATTATGGCAATCTACCACATATAACCTGTCACTTGAAGTTATTATTATTTATACTAGTTACTTTGATTTTTTTTTTATTTAGTGAGTAAGTATTTAATTTCAATACATGAATTACACTAAACTGTCAGAAAAAAAAATAACGGGCAAAAAAATAAACCAACCTTGTGAACCCAGTCCTTCATGCCAGTGTCACCCATGCACTTGTCGAGGGCGTTGGCGGACAAGACCAAGATGAAGTTGCGCGCTCGCTGCACACTCTGAATCAGTTTGTCCTCGAATTTGCCAGCCTCCAGCTTCTCCACATCGATGAAGACGCTGTATCCCCGGACCTGCAGGTGGACCTTGAGGAGGCTGGGAGCAGGGCAGGGAGATTGATAAGAGCTCATCGAACATTGCAATCAACCAGGGTGACGTCTTGATCCAGTTACTGGATTTCCCTGTTTGTGGTCTCTCACCTGGCCAGCTGGGAGCCTGTTGTCCGACGATAGCTGATGAACACGTCCGGTCCTGCAGGCTGTGCGTCAGTGTGACAGGGTTTAAAAGGCCGGCGGCTGGCACTCAGGATCTTGGCTCTGTGGATCCCGTTGTCTATGTGGCAGTCGTGCTGTAACTGCTGATCCGTCAGCTTCTCAATGTTGTGGCGATCCACACCCGACTGCAACAGACCGTAGGTGTACTGACGAAAACGGGGGTCCACCTCCACCAACCAGTCGCCCATGTTGTTCGGGTCACATGTGGCGTAGTTGGCATATGTTTTCAACAAACGCAGGTCTCTTAGGAATCTGCGGAGAAAGATTACAACTGTGAAGGGGAGTGGTCTTAATGTGCTCAGGTATTTAAGGGTTTTTAACCACATACCTTTTCCTGGTGAGGCCTACAGTCATGCCCAGATCATTGATCAGATCCTGGTCTGTGATGTTCAGCAGCAGGTCTCCGTCCACCTGCAGCTCCTGGTATAACATGTTTAGAAACATATTAGATGAAAAGATTTATTTAGAGCTGTTTGTGTCTCTTTGACCAACCTTAAAACGGTCACAATAGGCACTGAAGCCTATCTGCTGCAGCCACCTCTGGACGTCACCCGTTTTCCAGTTGGGAACACCTGACAGGATACGTTTCGGTACTTCCTCTCCCATCATACCCAGAGCCTTCTTGGCAAGGGCTGAGACTGTACCGTTACTAGAATACATGGCAATTCTCTTCAGACTCTGCACGGCTCCAATCTCATGAAAAATCTTTGGAAATAATAAAGGAGAAGAAACACAGTTAAGAGAAAGTTTCCAAACACGACAAAGATTTTTCTGTCGGCAATGGAACGATACCTTTGTGTTGCGCTGCCGAGACTTGATGCTCGTCTCAACACAGAGGTAAAAAGCCGCAATGCACTTTCCCTCCAACCTGGTGCCGTCCAGTAAAGGTATGAGATGCTGCAGATCGGCTGCTGTTTTCCCCTGCATGCTGTCTGCACTGTCCAGTAAGCTACGAGCAAATTCTTCTGGATCCAGAGATGCGATGAAGGGCTCCACCAACTCCAAGGTTCCAGATTTGACCACCTCCTTTTCGATTTCCTTATTTGTTGCTAATACTGTCACAGCCAGACATGCATAGAAGCGAATTAGTTCATCCTCTTTGGAGAAGGCCAGTGGGAACAGCCACTCAGCTGCCTGTTTCTCGATCATCCAGCGCTGGCAGCGGTGGCCTCCGTACATGGCACAGTTGGCCAAGGCCACAGCACAGTGTCGCAGAACAGTGGGGTCTGTACCCCGGCACCAGTACAGGAGGGCATCCAGGGCACCGTTGGAGATGAGGTTGACAGATGTCTCCTCTGTGTGTTTGAACATGTGCTCCAGGATTCCTGACACGCTGCGGGCCAGCTGGGCATCTTCCTGCTGCCGAGTCAGGTTGAGGATGACGCCCAGTCCCACACGAGCGACATAATCTCTGTTAGGAGAAATCAAAACATGATGTGCCATAGATATTGCTCGAAATTGATTTATACATTTCTTTAATCAATAAGGTATAAATAAGAAAAATACATTTAGAATATATTTAAAATAGAACACACTGTAAAATGTGAAAAAAAAAGTGATTAGTTCAACATAAACCTTCAACTGAAAGGGCTGCCTTAAAATTTAGAGTTAGGTCAACTGGTTTTTCTGTTTAGTTATCGCAATGAGAAAAATGTTGTGTTTCAAACTACTTTACTTAGTTGTCTGAACTTTCAATTTTATGTCAACATATTTAGGTCATAGGTAATTTTATCAACTCTTTCTCTTATGTTGCATCAAGTATTGTTAATTTGGCCCAATTTGAATACGTGTATGTTGCATCAAGTATTGTTAATTTGGCCAAATTTGAATACGTGTGTCTTAATTGCTAAAGAAAAAAAACACCAAAGTTTACAGGTGCAAGAGTGAGCCCAGCTGTTCTGTGTATAATCACAACAATTAAATAACAACCGTTTCTCCACGTATAAAGTCAAAATGTAAACCAAACCTTTCCTTCTTCCTTTATATTGTTTTGGTCGGTGCAAGTCTTCCTTCTGTTTATGTAACTCGCTTTACTTTACTTAGGTTTACACAATCGTCCCCGCTCTTTCTACCATTATAAACGATTGAGTTACATAAATATATGGAACGACATGGTTTGTGTGTTGTCTATTTCACCGCTGCACCTGCAGAACACACATTATCGCTCCTCCCTCACAGCACTCGGTGTCCGATTATATTAAGCGTTATTACTTAATTCTACAATGATTAAAACAAAGTTTATTTAATATAAAATCCTAAGAAAACTTACCAAAACAGGAGACGGGGAAAAGACAAACATTTAATTGGTAAATAAACACCAGCCGATGAGTAAATGGGAGTGCCGCAAAAAAAATCATCCTTAATTACCCAAAAAACCCCTCGACTGCGTCGAAAGAAAACGTGATGACGTGACAAAGACACAAATTTAGTTTTAAATTGGTTCAACATATTTTTTTTTGTAATTTTGTAATTTTGTGGTGTATTTCATGCTAAACATTGTTTCAACTTGTGTTTCCATTGAAACCTTTTATTAATTTCAATAAATAATTTTTGTTACGTTGACATAAAATAATTTGTGAAGATAAGCCTAAATGCTACATTACAATTTACAGTGTAGGGGAACATTCTGGAGCACTTTACTTGTACACTGGGAGGTGATACTGTTCTGTTTTATTTAATGTTAACAAATATATATTCATATGTTAGTCATTAGATTAGTATTTAAACTCCACAAGTCGTCAGTGTGTATGAGTTGCCATGGTAATAGGGATCTCCATAATGCTATTGACAGGATTATATGATTTTAGTTTGAACAGTTTGTGTTCTTTTACCTATTCTCTGAGATCAGGATCTGCTCCATGAGTTTGGTTGACTCATACGTGATCTCCACGTCTGGTGACTGCTGCAACTGAAGCAGCAGCTCCAGGCCTCCATCCAGCCGGATCCTATTGCAAATCTCCTCAGCCACCTGACGGCCCAAGGTAGGTAAAACCCAGGCCTCCTCCACCAGCCGGAAGATCTCCCCGATGGCAGTGCGGGTCTCCTCTAAATTCTCCAGCTCCTTGGCTGACTTCAGCCTCCTGATGGCTGAGCGCAGGGCGGGGAGGGAGATGTCCAGAACCGCCTGCACGTCTGCGGCGATGCCGGGCGAGACCGGCCTAGGGGTGACGGAGCCGGAGCCGGAGCCGGAGCCGGAGCCGCTCCTCCCTCTCTGCAGCCGGCTGACATATTCCGGCACCGTGAGCCTGTCTGAGCTGAACATGATGCAGAAATATCGATGGAGTTTCCACAGGAAGATCGTCAGAGACAGGAGCATCTACCGGCGAGCAAGTCAGTGTGGCTGGAAGAATGGATGGAGGAAGGGATGGATGCTGGAAGTGCAGTGGAGAGAATCTACAAATAAATAGATAAAATGCTGCTGTTTTTTTAAACTACAAATAAATAGATAAAATGCTGCTGGGTTTTTTTTTAAACAAATATTCCTGCAGGCCTGGACGGTATATCAAAAATGACAGCTTTGATCAGATTTCATCATTAATCTGTAAGATTCATGTCTGTCCTGACACAGAGCAGATAATCAGCTCAGAGGATGTAGAGTCTGCTCTTGTTTATCCCTCAGTATCCGACCGAACACCGGTGCGTCCTCCAAGCGCACGGCCTTACAGTTACAACAAAACCAAATACACAAACCGGGGAAAATCCTTAATGTTTTCCAAGAAACAGTCGCGATATTATTCTTTCTTCAAAAAGGTTGTGTAGACAAAGACACAGCTCCGATCACCGCGTGAAAATCTTCCCATACCTCCCAGCATCCGACGCCCCACAGCGTCTTGTTTACGGCTGAATCATAAAAGATGACACCGGTTATCCAACAGCAGCATCAGCATCTGACCTATATCATCCTCAGGTCAACACAACAGCAGCATCCGCATACGGGCTCTGAGGGTCCTCTGGGACACACACCGCCCACCGGCTCCTAGTCCGGTTTACCCTGTAGTATAAAAGAAACGTCCCCTCTCCTCAGCAGTCCATACTGAAGGGCCCTTTACAATAGTGAGATTGCCCTCTGCTGGTAAAACTGGTGAACTCATATTATTTAAGGCAACGCGATAAAATTTAAAATATAATAAGTCAACAAATTCAAGCTTTTTAAGATAAATAACGGAAGGACAAAAGTGTTTACTTTGGTTATTTAGGTGAACATTTTAGTAAAAGGAAATAAAATGAAATGCTCACAAGAAAGTAGCGAGAGTCCATGGGTAACAATTTATTGTAAAGCAGTATTAATGTAAGGATTATAATGGCGTGTTTTGGGATTGATGGTGCAAACTTATCAATATTAGAGATAAAACCAAAGTGAAGAGAAAGCAGATGAGGAAGATTCTAAAGCCTAAAACGCCTAAAAAGTTAGATTGTCTTTAAAGGAGTTAGTAAACCAATCATAAATCAAACATTTTCTACACAGAGGTTAGAAAAAAAAACTGATTATAATGTTCCTCAAACCCATGAAAACCAACTTTGGAAAATTCTTCTTCTAATAAGTTAAGTGGTCAGGAGTCAAAAGAGGATCACATGATTTAATCTTTTGTTTCCTGTTGATCTCTTCCTCTGTTTATTGGCTCCTGGAGTTTGCCAATACTGTTAAGTAAACAGGGGTCAGGGGTGAGAGAGTGCGAAGGCAGGGGGGACTGACGCATAATGTAATCAGAAGCACACAGTCCATCATTACTCTCTCAGTCTGGTTTTCTCCCACTTCACTGACAACATGAAGCTGCGGATGGTCCTGCTGCTCACGCTTGTCACACAAGTTTTGGCTGAAGAAGGTAAAACATTTTTCAGATGGGTACATTTTCTGCTCATCCTTCCTGCCGCTAAATGGAAACTTTAGTTTGTTCATTTCATCAGAGTCGGTTTTTGAGTTGTATCTAGGAGTCAGTTTGTTTCTCCACAGAGTCATGTATGGGTCGCTGTGAAAATGGCTTCGACTCTCAGAGGCAGTGTCAATGCGACACCATGTGCAAGTACTACCAGAGCTGCTGCACTGACTTTCAGGTCGTCTGTGGAATGATAAGTAAGGCGGCGGCTGAACATACAGAAAAGCCAAAAAGGTCAAAGTAAAGACGGAAAAGAGCGAAAACATCCCTAACATTCTATTTCTACTTTTTTGTACTCAGCCCGTGGAGACACTTTTACTTTTGCAGAGGATGACGACGAGGACGAGTTATCTGAAGTTACCACTCCCGCCCCAGACCCGTCGGACCCATCTCCAGCTAGCCGCCAATATCACATGATGCCCACACTAGAGGCCGCTAAGGACTTCAGACAACCACAGCGTCCAGAGAGCACATTAGAAATAAGCAGACCACAACGAATCTCCCTAATCCCTCACGGACACAGACTACACGTATCCTTCACAGTCAACCCTACTACAGAGATTCCCACCTCAGCTGCCCCACCCGAGGCGACCACGGCCCCCGTCACCACTGGCGCCACTAAAGCTCCAGACCCAGATGCTGACGTCTGCAGCGGGAGGCCATTCGATTCGTTCATGCAGTCGAAAAATGGGTCTGTCTATGCGTTCAGAGGTGAGGTCCTGCCCTGAGCGTCCAAAAGTCCGGTAGTTCTGAACTGATCGTACCTACAGCACTGGATATATACAAAACAACAAGACAGAGGGGTGAAAACTTCACCCCTATTAGTATGATATTCTCGACCACCCACACCACTGAAGGACCTTTGTTTACCAGATGTTTCCTGTTAACCTAATCGGTCAACAACAGGATCAACGGTTGACATTTTTTATGGTCATGACACACAGGATCAACGGTTGACATTTTTTATGACACTGGTCATTCCTGGACATTGTACTTTTAATGCACATCAATGAAACCATTCTTGGCAGATAGTTTCACTTTGGTTAATTTTGGCTACAATTACTACAAAAAACCCTGACCATACCATCCAGACTAGAGGCGTGAAACTCAAATTCACAGTGGGCCAAAATTAAAAAATTGGGACGAAGTTGCACTGTGGGCCAGATTTGGCCCCCGGGCCTGAGTTTGGCACAATGCAGAGCTTAAATCTGTGATCGTCAAAGTTGATATTTTTTAAATTTGTTTTTTTTTTCCTAGGCAAGTATTTCTTTGAACTGGACCAGAGGTCTGTGGTTCCTGGATTCCCAAAGCTAATTCAGGACGTGTGGGGCATCGAGGGGCCGATCGACGCTGCCTTCACCAGAGTCAACTGTCAAGGAAAAACTTACATCTTTAAAGTGTGAACACAGACAAAGACATGTCATAAGGTCATATTTATGTTGACATGATGCTATTGCTAAATTGTTGTTGTTGTTGTTTTTTAAATCAACAGGGGTACAAGTACTGGAGGTTTGATAACGGAGTGCTGGATGACGACTATCCTCGAGATATCAGTGTGGGATTCGACAAAATTCCCGATCACGTGGATGCAGCTTTTGCCCTTCCTGCCTCTGGTCACCATGGAAAAGAAAGAGTATACTTTTTTAAAGGTGCAGTGAAGTGTTGTTCATGTTACCGCATTATTTTTTTGGTGCAAAAATAGGTTTTTAGTAGTAATGTCTCATAATATGTGCCGACCGATATTATTGGCCCAATATTAGTATAATTATGTTATAACTGTAAGAATTGTTATCGGTTTTACCGCGGATAATGAAAACCCGACAATACGATGCTTGGGTTTTGCCAAATCCTGAAAGGTTTACTGTAGTTTTGTGGGTAAACAACAGCATATATTGGTATGGTGGGATATCAGAATCGGAAATTGTTTGGACTACATCGGCATATTGTATATTAGCAATAAGTTAATACTGGACACCCCTACTTTTTATGAATTACAAAAACAAAAGTTCAGTGGAGTTTTGAGTGAGTTGACAAATCACATTTACAGACTTACGTCTTGTTTGGTTTCTTCTTCTCTCCTCCAGGGGAGCAGTACTACACGTATGAGTTTTTTCACCAGCCGTCTCATAAAGAGTGCATCACCATGTCCGAACGTTTCCCATCCACACCCTTCAGGCAGTACACCGACATCTACTACAACAACTACGAAAGCTTCTTCAGCAGCCTCTTTTCCGACCGTATGTCTCTGCATTAGTCTGTCATTCTTCAGTCAAAGCTGATGTTTTTCAGGCTCTACCCCCCCCCCTTTTCTTCCAGTCCCTCAGCATGAGGACCATCACCATTTCATCAACAAAGACTGGAAAGGCCTCCAGTCTCCTGTGGATGCTGCCATGGCGGGGAGGATCTATGTGAGCCCAGGGAGGCCCACACCACGCCGCAACAACTACGACCGGGACCAGTGGTGGAACCAGCAGTATGGACAGCAGTGGAACCAGCAGTATGGACAGCAGTGGGGGCGTAGGAGGCAGAACCGTTCACCCCATTGGGGTTCGATGGCAGAGCAGGGAATGAATATGGGTCAGGAGATGGCTGAGAAAGGGATGGAGATGGGACTGAGGTTGGCAGAGAGGAGGATGGAAATGGAGGAAAGGCTGGGACGAGACTGGAGCAGACGGTGGGACCAAGACTGGGACCAGGACAGACGGAGAGACCGGTACGGCAGCAACAACAGAGGCAACTATGATTCCAGAAACGACAGGTCGTATCGGAACAGGGCCTGGGGTCAGCCCACGCAGAGCGTCTACTTCTTTAAAGGAGGTAAGAGGACATGGTATATGTATTCATATATACTGTATATATATATATATACATATGTACATATATATGAATATATATATATACATATATACATATATATGTACAAAATATATGTAAAAATAAATATATGTATATTCCTTTTTAAAAGAAGAATTATATTTTTTCTAGGATTAATGAAAAGCAAATAATTGTGTCATCAATTGTGTCAATTGTTACTTATTAGGATTTGTGCACATTCTAGATGTTTAATGGCTCCAAAGTAAATTGGTTTCTAAGGGCAGGGGGATCCGAACCCATTTAAACCTTGGTCTTAATTAAACCTGTCTCTGCTGCAGACGGGAGCTGGGGGAGAGGAAGACAGAAAGTCCTTTAGTGTCACATGTTGTTACTTAGCCACATGACATAGAAACAGGCGCCTAAGATATCTAATCTTCCTTGGTACACACTGGCATCTGGTACTAATGGCTATTTATTTATTTGACTTAACTGAATTAGTACGCTCACTGTAAACCATGAAATAGGTTTAATTAAAAAAATATTATGTACATTGAAATCAACAGAAAAAAATATATTTTTTGAAGTTTTGAATGGATATGACTCAAAGTAACCTCCAAATACAGGATATCAGAACAGAGTATTTAAAAGACGACCTTTCAGAAGATAAGCTCACATCATGTGACTTGCGACGGGAACACGTCACGTGCATAGAGGGAATTTTATACAGGTGATTAATTCTGGTCACATGCCGAACCCAGATTGGGTTTATAAGATAAGAGATTAAATGTACTGCTGTAAATCACGAGGAACTACAGTAAAACTATGAATGGTTGTGTATTCCAGATAAATACTACAGAGTGGACCTCAGCACCAAGAGAGTTGACCCTGCCTCACCTCCGTATCCCAGATCCATCGCCACGTACTGGCTCGGTTGTTCTGACCCCAAAGGAGCAGAGAAGTAGGTGATCGGAAATAATACTGACTATAAACCTCGACTATAACTTCACTTTTCTTTCGTGTTGGTTGTGAAATATGTGTTAAAAAGAATGTTCAGCTTGAGAAAAAAAAGAGCTGCTTTCTGCTCCGGTGGTTATTGATTTGACTAAAGTCCAAGCTCTGCCTGTTGTAGTCAAAGTTCAGCAGCTTGACCTCCTGTGCTCGGTGTTGTTGTCGATGCGTAATCTGTCCTTTACATCAGCTGACCCACTTTAACCTACGCAGCCCTAAGCATTAACTTTACGTGGTTTTGATGTTTTCGTACATTCTCGTCATATCGTCAGAACACATCATTTCAAAACGAATGTTTTATTGGATAAAAATATACAGTACGTTGATAGTGGAAAGATATTTACAGCAGACAATCTCAAGCTGTCCAAAATTACACACTTTAGCAATGATGTGTCCTTGGGCAACGGCAGCAAAAGAAAAAACAAAGGTCAGAGGTCACTGACAGCAGGGTTCATCCTTCAGGACACAACTGCTGGTCTGGTATATTTGGTCTGCTCTGTTTATATATATATATATATACATATTACATACATAATGTCAGTTTTTTTTCTATAAGGTGTTTGCCACAAAATGTCACAAAGGAATAAAAAATGTGTTACTGCGATAAATAAAAGGAAATGGCACTAGTACAATGTTCCAAAGTTTCTGTTCCATCAAATAAAACAAGCGGGTCCAGACGTTAGCCAATACGCTGTACTCCTGTAATGACCACCAAAATGTGTGCATGTGTTTGTTGCCCTCAGTAAAAACAGGGAGTACTTTGAGGTTTAAGATTCAGTTTCAGGTTAGGATTAGGGTTAGGATTAAGATTAGCAATATACTTGGTTAAGATTAGGGTTAGGAATGCATTTTTTGTTTACGTGAAGTACTCAAACTCAATAAAGTTTCTTTGCCTAAACATTTACAATATGTTACTGTCTGCATATCACCAAAGTGTTGTTATTATTATTACTATTGTTGTTGTTGTTTACTTTATTCAAATTGCGCTATGAAAATGTTACACAACATGAGGAGCTCTCATTCAGCCCATTTTTATTTCATAAAAAGTAGCTATCGGAGAACAAATATTTGGAGACCCCTGATGTAGAACATCATGTTAACCTAATCCCTAGTTTACATGTCTAAACAGGAACAGGGAACTGAACGACGCCCAAACTCACAAACACTCAGGAAAGAAACATGTAAACTCTGACCATCCCTGCAGGTATTTGAAGGAATGACCTCCTTGCTCCACGCTCCGTCACAGACAACCGTTGTACCAAGTTGGCCTTGGTCCGATTACGACTGGTGAATCATGACGTTTTCATAGCAGGGTTCATCGGTCCCACTGACCACGGCTCCTGCGTTGGCGATGATGTCTGCGTTTTCTCCCGTCGGTCCCACTGTCAGGTAGTTGCTCTCAGTTCCACCTGTGCTCTCCTGGGCGATCAAAACTGACCCCGAGTCAGCCGAAGCCAGCTCAGGCACGCTCGTCAGAATGGACGACAGCGGCCGTTTCGGAGCGCCGCTCTCTGGGACGGGACTTTCGTTAGAGTTCACTGTGTCCGAGGAGACATGAGACTCATGTTTCCGCCTCAGGGGTTTACAAACAGCAGTCTCCCCCGCTGGCTGGCCCCCCTGGGTGCCCCCCTGCTCCCATACACTTGCCCGAGCGCCAAGCTTCCTCCTTGGCGGTTTGGTGACCACCTCACCTCCTCTGGTCTTGTTCCTACATGATTCCTGCTCCTTCTGTCTCTGCAGGCTGCCCAGTCTTCTGAGCATGGCCTGGACTGGACCTTCAGAGTTGGTCTGTGTCACAGGTCTGCCTGCTTTACCCACCGTCACGTACACCGTGGTGACCTTTTTGGACATATTGACCTGAGCGTCAGCACCAGGTGTCGTCAGCACGTTCCCTTTCTGTGCGGCTGTGTTGGACATTGTGCGTCTCCTTCCTGCAGCACCCGCCACCTGCACGGTGGTTCTGGAAGGAGTTTGGTCCGGGTCCTGGTCTCCTGTTTCGCAGCTCGTTTCCTGGACTTCTGTTGCATCTACGTTATTCTCCATCTCTGTGGCTTCTCCTTCGTCCTCCTGCCCAGCTGTGGTGGCACTTCCCTGATTCTGAAGGGCAGAAAGCATCGCGATACCCCAGCCAGATTTAGGTTTGCCGCGTGCCAGAGCCCCCGCGTCCTGAGCAGAGCCTCGTCTCTCCATGGGGCTGAAGCGGGTCCCCTCAGCAAAGGAGACGGATGGACGTTTGGACTTGGCGATGCTGGACGTGCGAGGAATGTTAAAGGGGGAGGTGATGTCCTCACTACTGAAGCCATTAGGGTCTAAGAAGATGTTACACTTGGAACTCATCTCCTGGAACTCACCACCTCCCACTGCTGGGATGTCTGTGAAGTACACAGTGACACAGTGGGCGCAAACATTAGCTCATACCTGCGTCACAATGCCCGGCAGTATTTTATTTACGGCCCTGTGACGTCAGCGGTAACACAGTTGTCAGAAAACACTGAATAGAAAGAGAACTACTAGTCATTGTGACACAGCACACCACTGCACACAACCAAATGGGATTTTAACCCATCACCACAGTCAGCAGGGGGCAGCTTGGCAGCTGCTGGACTCAAACCTCAAACCTTCCGGACTCAAGTCTGCTTCCTTAACTACTAAGCTACCTGATTATATCTCTAAACTGTTTTTTTGTGTGTGTCTGAATCCCCCTGGTGGTTCATATATGGCATTGCAAGTGATACCTCGCCGTGTATTTTCGATATCATATCGTATTCCGGTGTGAAAAACAAGTGCAATAATACTACCAAGAATATACAGGTGAAGTTGGATTCACCGTGACCAAAAGTCTGTTTCCAGGTTACAAAAAGAATACAATTTTATCAACCTGTCCTCGAACTGAACAGGGTCCAATGTTAGCCATCGCTAAAGACAGAATATCATCTTGTGTTATTATATTAATACTGCAGTAGTTGTGTCTCAGACAGAATGGTGGTCTCACAATCAAACCATCTGAAAACTTCAGCTTTCAATTAAATCGATTTTAATAAAGACAAACATCTTCAGCGCAGAGTTGAACCAAACATATTTGAGTTTCTTTCTGGTCTGTTAAACCCATTCCCGCAAATATGTTAAATCTTTTTAAATTTTAAGTTTAAGTATTTGTTGTTGTCTGTTGAATAAGGATTTAGGGAATGTAAAAAGTACCCTTACCCTCCCTCGGAGGTACACAGTAGAGGGCTTCCCCCTCCTCTTCATCACTGTCGAAAGACGAGCCCTCCGTCACCCACCCTGAAGATGGAGGCTCAATGAAGCTGTGGTTGAAGGTCAGCTCGGGGTCATGGTGAGACACTGTTGACATGGCGTGAACAGAAAAACTAACGTTAGTTAATTCACTTGTATTGTAATTAACAGGGATGAATCCTAGCAGTTGCATCTTCATATTTTTAACATTTTTTAATTGGTATAACCATTGCATTTCATGTCAAAAAACAAAGGCAAAATAAAATAAGTTAATTAGACTTTGCCACTAGATGTCACTAAATCCTCCGAGTGCAACTTTTTTTATCACACTGTCCTTCCCACTAGTTTTTCTTTACTGACCAGTGACACGAGGCAGACCAGAGGACCAGTTGGAGATACACGGCAGAGAAGCGCTGATGTTGGCCAGGACACTGTAGACGTGATACTTCATCCGAACCAACACACCACCATCAGCCAAGCTCGCTCTAAAAAGATGAAAGAACTTTTATAATGGCATGCAGTCATTGTTCAATCCATTACATTAAAGAACAACAGGAACTCACTATTGACACCACAGAAACTAGACACAAACTCCATTACCTCTGGTCAGCCATTAACTACAATGGAAGATCTGGTGGCCCCTGTGAATGAATGGAGAAGAAGGACATTTGGAAATTGAGAATGGTCCAGACCTGTCTTTGGCTTCAGCAGGCCGCCCTCCACAACACAAACAGCAGCAGAGCACAGCCAACAACAAGAGGAGCAGAGGAACCAGCACAGCAACCAACACAGCACCTGTGGAACCTGAGACGGGAGACATAATGGACTGATATTCACTGACACATGGTGGATGGGTGGATGGATGGATAGATGGATAGATGGATGATGGATGGATGGATGGATGGATGGATGAAGAAATTGATGAATGGATGAATAAATAGATGGATGGATGATGGATGGATGAAAGGATGGATGAATGGATGGATGGATGGATGGATGGACATACTGCTGGGACAGGCTCCAGTCACTGGGTGGCAGTTGACGCCTTCACCACAGTCACACACAGAGGAACAGTTGAGGCCAAACTGCGGGGCGGGGCAGCTGCTGTTACAGCTGGAAATGACAAACAAACAACAACCACATAATTACATCACGGAGTCAGTTACATATAATGTCAATATTTTGACTAAAGGAACAGGAACGAAGAAATGGAAATGTCTCCTAACGAAGCGTCCTGTGTCATTGTCCCGCTGACTCCAAACATTTCTGCAATTCAGTGTTCAGACGAAAGAGAAACCGGTCTTTAATAATTCCTGTCAGCTCACCTCTCTCCCCAAAAACCTGGCTCACACACACATCTTCCTGTCACATGATGGCAGTTACCATGGACACAAGGGTTACACAGGAAACTGCAGCTGTCCCCAAATGTCCGGTCGGGGCAGGTTTCCTCACACCTGGGTGAGTGTGTTGAATATAAAAACACACAAAACGATGTTAGACTATTACTGAAATGTTTTCCATCTGGTGTTACTTTCCAAAAACAAACCAACCTGATTCCAGTCCATCCCGGGTCACAACGTAAACACCGGCCATTTTGCGGGTCACATGTCTCGTTCTCCCTGCATCGTGGACACTTCTCCTGACATCCGTTGCCGTAGTGACCATATGGACAGGGCCGGTCACACCCAGTCCCATTCCAGCCGGGCTGACAGGCGGCACAGGATCCATCAGTAGCAGAGCAGACCTGGTTGTTTTTGCAGTGTCCACAACTACAGTAGTAGAGATAAAATCAGGGTTCGTATTTGAAGAAGAAAAAAAAGGAAAAATTCTCACCATACATCTAGTAAACCAGCGGTTCTTGAATATTTTCTGTCACGCCCCCCCTTGGGGACAGAAATGTTCCACCCCAGGCCCCTGTTTCGAACTGACATAGTATTGAGAACCTGATAACATATATCTGTACAAACTACTCTTTGAGTTGCTGCCACCTAGTGACAGGAGGCTTGTTACCATTCAAGAATTACAGCAGTGGTACACTTATGTGCAGAGCCTGTGTCATATTCCATTGGAAGCCCCTCGCGGCCCCCCGGCACCTCACCGCGCCCCCCAGGGGGCCCCGCCCCACTATTTGAGAAGTACTGTAGTAAACTAACTAAACAAAACAGATACTATTAGACTAAGAGACCCCGAGGAACAAAGTTAAACAACTACTTTTCTTTTGGTCACTTTTCATTTGTTGTTGTGTCTCAACAGTGATTAAAACCAGACACATTTCTGAAATTCTAACATCTGTCTTGGCACTATTTGACCAACCCTTACGTCCTTCCACACACTTACCGCATTCTACAGCCACTTCCATACGTTCCCGAGTCACAGGACTTGTTACAGAAGCGACTCTGGTAGCCCGGGTGGCACAGACACTGCCCGCTGCCTGGGTCACAGCTGCTGTGGGTCAGGTCACAGTTACACCTGCGGTCACAGGCGGATCCCCACCACCCTGGCTCACACTCACAGGCGCCTGTCCACTGGTTACAGGCCAACAGGAAGCAGTTACAGGCGAAGGAACACTTCAGCCCCGAGTGTCCTCTTTGGCACCGACACCGCGCCTGCTCACAGCCGGGGCCCACGGCGGTCCCGCTGGCGCACTGGCACGGCTTGGAGCAGGTGGGCGTCCACCAGCCTTGGTCGCAGGTGCAGTTACCGTGCACTGGGTGGCAGTGGCCGTGGCGGGTGCACTTGCAGGTGTTCTGACACAGGGGGCCCCAGCGGTTGGGGTGGCAGGTGCATTCACCTGTGACGGGGTCGCAGCGGCCGTTGGGGTGACAGCGACACACCTGACGGCAGTCCGAGGACCAGAAGTCTGGGGGACAGCCTGTGACAGGACCAAACAAACACTGGAATACTTTTCTGACATTTTTTTATCATCCTTACTACTCTTTATTTGACATTATTTGTCCAACTTATTTTACGTACAGTCTTACGATGCCAAACATGCTTTGTTGTTCGTGACTCACGTGTTTTACAATGAGCTCCATAGTAACCGGGCGGACAGCGACACACACCAGGATAGACACAGATCTCATCTTTCTGACAGGCCTGTTCACCCTCACACACAGCTACACACACACACACACACACACACACAGCATCCAACCAGTGTTTAATTAAAACAATTTAAAAAAGGTCTGTCAACATGAGGGCAGTGAAGACATTGTTACTTTGGCTTTTACAAAATGACTTTAAACTCACGTATGGTGCACTCTGCCCCCTGCTGAAGCCATCCAGTACAACAAACAGGAGAGGAGGGGTCTCTGAATGTTTACAAAAGACTCAGGTCAGTCTAAGCAGAATTATGAGCGGTAAAATATTTAAAAAGGAAAAAGCTATTTAACAGGAAGGTGGGAACATAAAGATATAAAGGGAGTAAAGCAGAAGGAAAAAATCATTTATAGCATGAAGCTGTTTTTAGCAGACAGAAAAATAGGCCTCACAGAGGGAGGTGGGGAAGAGTGTTATTTTTTGAATTTTTTAAGTGAATTTATTTTATTTTATAAATGCAGCATAAAATAAATGTAATCAACGTATATTTAACCAGGAAAATCACACTGAGATAAAAAAAAAACCCTATTGAAACAAGAGCTGACCAAGATATGCATAGTAGTAAACAGAGTAACAAAAAATCTTTTTAGAAGTAATTATTAGTAATTATTGTGTCCTTAACTACTGTATATGATTACATATGAACATGTCTCGTAAACTTCTTTTTAATTTATGCCATTATTCGTTTTTCTGCCTTTAAACCTTCCGTAAACAAACAAAGCTGGTGCACCCAGGGCTGAGTAGGTTTTTTGCACCAGGGTTAGGATTTGAACCAGCAATCCTCTGATTACCAGCCCAGTCCTTCAATCGGTCAGTATACCATAAGAAAAAAATTAGTAATAAATCAGTGAATCAATCAATCAATCGGTCAGTCAGTCAGTCAGTCTGGTACCTGGCATTGTAGCAGACGTTCCTCCCATCAGGATCCAGTGTGTGTGCTGTTGTCATGAAGCAGCAGAGCAGGAGGCTCAGAGCTCTGAGCAGCAGGATCATCTCCACCCCGGACCAAAACCAAAAACCCTGGTTTCCTCAGAATCGCTCCGTTTTCTTTATTCCTCTTCACTTTGTGTCGCGCTCCAGTCAGAGTGGATCTCAACCAAAAGGCGATGTCTCTCCGTCTCCCTAACCTCCACCCTTCCCTTCTTCCCGTTCTCTCTCTCTCGTTCCTCTCCTGTGAGTCGTCTTGTGGCCACGGTGCAGCCTGTGAGGTCAAAGCCCTGGGGTTTCCTCTTCCCATTTCCTGGGGAAGTCAGAGCCACTTCCTCCTATTCAGCCAAGTTTTTAAAGATGGTCGAACAGTGAAACGCGGCTGATGTTCAGCCTTTTCCCAGAATTTGCTGCTGGTGGTCTTCCAGGATACGATGACGAAAAAGCAGCGCGGTGTCATTAAGTTTAGAAATGGTCACATGATCACACCTGTACAACATAACGGTTGTCATTTCCAGGTGTGAGGATTTGGATTTTGCAATGACAGAAAAAAGAAATTTTTTTTTTTAGACAGAGTTGAATGGATTTATTTGAATCGTGCCATTTCATGATGAGAAAAAACACATTTATATTCAGTCACAAGACAACTCAGATCTTAGAAATACAATTTTCAGCATACAAGTTATTATTTCATACTGTTTTCATACAAAAACAGACGTTACGCAGGAAAACATACAGTGCGTTACATCACTGGACAGACTGACCACTGCTATTGAGCTGAGTGGCTCTGTCAGATCATATTCACAAAATACTTCACACATTTGAATTTGAAAAAACATTTGACACTTTAAAAACTGTGGCACAGTGCAAAGACTAAAGACTGAAAAGTTAAGAAAATATTTTTTTTTTGTTTGTTTTGCACTCGTTTAATAATATACAATGGTAAAAGGTTCTGGTGCAACGTTCTGTCAAATAGAAAGTGCTTCAATTAAAAATTTAAAAAAAAAAGAAACAATGCCCTCTGGTGGACAAGGGGTACGGTGCACACTATACTGTTATATCTTTGGTTTCGCTTTAAACGCTGAATATTCATATAAATATCGAAGTGTACATAGATTTTTTTTAAATACAAACGACAACACAAATAAAACATATTGTGTATTTAAAAATGAGAAGTCTTTTTTTTTTAAATAGGATTATTTTGTGTCTTAGAAATGTCCGAAGATTCTGCAGTAAACAGAGCTGTTGGTTTTTGTTCTGATAATAAAACTCTCACTTCCTCTTATTTATCACAGGAGGGAAAGGGGAATGAGAGAAAATATAGTGTTTGTTTCATTTATTCTTTTAATCCTCAAATGAGAGGTCGAAGTTTAAAGCAAACAAACACTGACCTCATGTCACCGTGACTAGATCAGTAAATTCACCGTGCCATTCGTTTTTGTCGTTTGTTTTTTTAGTTCACGGTTAGAAAATAAAATAAAAATCTTCAAACAAAACTCTCACTCTACGTTTGGAGGTAAAACTGTGGGTTTTGTCTTAGCTTTTGCGTCGAGGTCCTGCAGATGTTAGAGCTGCGAACGGCGCCAGGTTCAGGAAGACTCAGATCCCTGATCTGTCTCATATGCAGCCTCCGAGTCTCCGATGATCTCCCATCCAGAGGCAGAGTTACTCATGTGGGCGGGGCTACGTCCGCTGCCGGAGCGAGTCAGGAAGCCGAAGCTGCGGAGCAGAAAAGAGAGGCCTAAAGGTCAGATCAGGGATTAGAGCTAAGTATAGATCGTGGAGAGACAGGTCTGTGGACGCTTCGATTGTGTTAGAACAGAACCGAACAGAACATCCCAGTGTGTGGTCATTAACTAACACACCAACCAGCAGTTGACGTTCATTTAACCATTTGTCACACATCATGTCATTACATGTCATTTGTATTTATTATTTGAATTATTATTTTTGAAGAACTCCGCCGTAGCGTTGTGTTTAATGCATTAGCCCTGTGATAAAGGATTGCTGGTACAATTCCCTGCTCCAGCGGGTGTTCCCTGGGTCTGTACAGTGCAGGGCAGGGCTGCTGTTTGACAGATAATTTCACTGTGTGTATTTGTACAGTGAAAAGTTGAGACACTTCAGCTGAAGGATTAGGATCATGGGATAACAAAACATTTGTTATTTGCACCTAAACCATATAATAGTCACAGTAATAATAAGCACCCACACAGATGAGAGTGTTCCAGAACAGTTTGAATGAACTTCCTGGTGATATGAGACCATTTATTCTCATTGGACGACTGTTTCCAGCGTTAAAACAGAACTGCGTTTTCCGGTTCCCGGATTCAAAATCAGTAAAACAAAGATAGAAATAAGATAAATGTATCTGACGTTAACTGACAATAGTGCTGAATTACATAATATATTATCTGACCAGGGTGTAGTAAAGTGCATACTTCAGGTAGTAGTACGTATGTGTGATTTACTCACAAGTTTCTAATGCGTGACTCGGCTGGTTTGTCAGTGTGGTCCACTCCATGTCCGTCCACTTCTGTCTGTCCAAACAGGGAGCTCCTCTCCTCTTCATCACTATAAAAAAATAATTTAACCCTAACACTGTTACATTACAGTATTTCATGGAAATAAAGTCACTCTGTGTAAAGGGGGCTGTTTTAAAAACTCATATAAATAACACGGTGGTAGGAAGTCAAATAAAGTCAGGAACTCACTTTCAAAAAAAGAAGTGCTCCTTTATGAGGAACTATACAGCTTTCTATTAATGATGAACTGATTCACTGCTCACTGCCTGGTCTGGACAAACACCTGATCTCTGTCAACACAGAGTATAAGACGGAGCACAGACCTGCTGCTGCATTCATTCACAGAGATCCCCAGCATCTTGGCCTTGATGAGCGTTCTCCTCTTCTTGATGGCCGAGCGCACGGCCTCCAAGAGGAAACCTGGGCAGCGCTCCTCGTTTAGGATCTCCCTGTGGGCAGACGTGTGTGTGTGTGTGTGTTACATCAGCAAAAGAAAAAAGTCATCCAAGAGACAGAAACCTGGAGCCAAACCTCTGGTAGTAGTTGAGCTCCTCCTGCACCAGGAACAGGTTGGTTTTGAGCTCGTTCCTCTCGAAGATGATGTCACGCACCTCCTTCTTGGTGAAGCATGGTTGATCTGGATCGTTCTGCTCGCCGCATGAGGCTCTGGAGGAACCGCGGGATCTCTGACCCCAGCTAATCTGAGGAGGGAGAACAGAGTCTGAGTTGGAGAAGATGGGACTAAAAAGAAGGAGAGAGAAATATCAACATCCTTGATTCAATAGCTTTAAAAGTTACATTACACATGCCTACAGGGGGCGCTATAAACGCCTTTATTTAATGCCCAGCAGTCTTTGGGCAAGGTCAGGGTTAAACCTTGAATAATTGCATGTGATGAAAAACCCTGTTACCACCAGGGGTCAAACTGGTGACCTTCTTACAGTAAGGCAAGATCACTAACCACTCTTCACCATGATGTCCTAGTAGAGTGGTCCATTGCAGCGTTTGTTTAGAATTACTTTACGTCAGTAGTGACATTTTAAACTTAAATACACAGAGAGAGGACGTGCGTACAGGGCTGCCCCCGCTGGTTCGGCTCAGTTGCGTCTGGAGGTTCTCGATCTCTTTGGATTTCTCCTTCAGATCGGCCTCCACGTCGGCCTTCCTCTCCACCATGCTCTTCAGCTGAGCCTGCAGCACGTTCTGCTTGTGCCGCAGCTCGGCGTTCATCTTCATGAAGCGGTCCAGCTGCTCCTGGAGCTGCAGACACACAAACACAGACGGATACAGTCTCTGCCCATCGTGTTGGCCGAGGGCGCGCAGTGGTGCTTGGGTGTGGGTGAAAATGTCCTAATAAATGGGTTTGTGGGACTCAAGTCTGGGGGTTGAAGACAGACAGACAGATAGACAGGAAG